GTGGCGCAGTTGGTTAAGAGTGCGAGCTCTGCGGAACAGGGTCACCAGTTCGATTCCCACATGGGCCAGTGAACTGTGCCCGAGCTGAGCTGCTGCTGAGCTGCCAACGGGCGGCCAGATGGCTCAGCTGGTGAGAGCGTGTGCTCTTAACAACAAAGTTCCCGTTTCGACTCCCACATGGGATGACGGGCTGCGCACCCCGCAACTATTAGATTGAAAGCGGCGACTGGACTTGGAGCTGAGCTTGCCCCCTCCACAGCTAAGATTGAAGGACAACAACCAACTTGGAGCTGATGGGTCCTGGAAAAACACAATGCTCCCCTTCCCCAATTCCCCACTTTAAAAAGCAAAAGAATTAATGTACTATAGACTTGATACAAATCTGCCTCTAAGTGTGACCTTCCCAGCTAGTGGGCAAGTTTGGGATTTAGGCAGCCACACAATCAATAAAGCATTGTGTTAGACCCAAGGGAGTCAATACAATGGAATATGAGATACCTCCCCTGATTCTCAAGGAGCTTGTAATTAAATTTATTGGACCAAATACATTCAAACACATAACTGAAGAGAGATTGAGATGAGGAGGGAGCTAAAAGGGCTGAATCAGAATGGGGCAGAGTTGACTTTCTGTTTGTAGGACTTTTGGCAAGAGCTCTGAATTAAGGTAGCAGTGAAGAACAGGTTTGTTTGGAGGGGATAAAGGAAAGGGACTATTCCAGATTCAAGAAAACCTCCAGCATTGTTCTGCATTAATGTTTTGTTGCTTTGAAGCTACTTTTAATAAGCTGTCTTCCTTTCTATAAACCTAATGTATCAGACATGTTATGCATCCCACCTCACATCCTCTCACTTGCTTTTTATTCTAGCTTCACCCAGGTGTAACCTGGGGCACCTTAACTCAGCGGCATAGCAGGAATACCTTGCTTTCCAACTCAGAGCTTCTCTGAAATCATAACCATTTAGCACTGGAGCACATGCAAACCTGGGAGTGAGGGATTCAACACTTTCTAGGACATCCTTTGACCCATGTGTAATGGGAGCATGTTGATAAATGCTCCCTCTTCTATCCTTAGGATGGAGTCTTCAGAGGCTTCTTCTATGCACCTTCTTGGACCATCTCAGTATGCAACCTTGAATTAGCTTCCCCTCTTCTGTTTCACTTTCTTAGTCCCCCATTCCTGATCCCTGGGAGCGTTTCCCAAAATCATCTTCCTTTTAGCAAGAGTCCGATGCTCCGATTTCTGTTAGGAGTGAGAACTAAAACACGTACTTATAATTTTGTTGCCTGGAGGTTGTTTATTCATGAATCAGTTATTTTTTTATTAGTGATTCTGATAGTCAAAGCAAATCTAAAAACTAGATATTAATTTATTGAGAAGCCTTTCTAAGAAAGAAAGTGCAATGTCAAGGTACACACAGAGAGAGATCCTGAGAGACTGAATGCTCAGTGGACCTAAAAGAGAAAAGCAACCTAAGGATCAGAGTAAGAGAACTATTAACTAAATTCAACCTGAATAGATTAAGTTGTAATCTTAATTTTGTAATAATTTCTTACATATTCTGCCTCTGCTCTTTCATGTTTCTTTCTGTCTCTATCTAACTTACTGAATATGTTAGCCAAAACTGTATTGCTCAGGGTTGAAAGTGACTTACTGTTTCATAAATGAGGCGCTAGAAAAAATCAGGTTCCAAATATGGGAGAGAATGATTTAGGTAACTTATGACTGTTTTACAAATTCTAAGACAGGGTTAGGAATATTTTTCAACTGAAAACAACTCATAGAAAATATGAGAATATGCAAGTAAATAAAATACATTTTAAAACATTGGGCTTCTTCCATCTTAATTTATAGAAGAAAAAAATCTCTGTTTCTATAAAGTAACAGTCCCATTTATCCAACAAATATTTATCATGTGCATTGATTTTGAGAGTGTTGCTGTTAAAAATATTTAAATCTTATTTTTCATTTTCACAATTCTAGAAAAATATCAACATAGAGCACTTGCCCCTTGGGCATCTGAATCATCCTCTAGGCTCCTTACCTGAGCTTGAAGACATAATGACTTGAGTTATTTGAGATTAACTTCTGTGAATGTTCTGATAAACATCACTTTCATTTCAAGAACACACACAATTAGAGCTATTACAGGAACATTATTGTGCTAGGTACAGTGACCCCAGAATATACCGTGGTGAGTAGAAATGATCCCTGACGTCACAGAATTTGTATAAAGCTAGGTTAGGATTAGAATTATGTAATATTTTTCTACCTTTTTACTATTATACTTTTCACACCATCTGTCTCCCAACATGGAGACTTTTAAAATATATATATGAAAAATTATAATCGCTTAAAAACTGTTAAAGGATTTAAGAAAATAAAAAAATAGCAGGGCACAAAAACAAAACAAAAAAACCCCCAGAAAAAGATGATACGTGGAGAACTTCGATAAGGGGTAGATCAAGAAACTCAGATTTTGGCTTAATTCTCAAAACACCTGCTAAACTGTTTAGCTTGTAGCAGTAAATTTTTATTGAACTCTCTTGAGGATTTGGTAAAGGTTTTTTCATGTGCAAAGGACACTAGTGTCAGAAAAGCACAGATTTGCAGAAGTTCATTATCTGTGGTCAGGAAATGTATAACGGAAAATATAGCCCTTGAGTGCTTAGGTTGAGAGCAAGCCACGTTTATAGGGCAAAGGGCTGCTGGAATGGAAGGTGAAGGAAAAGGAAAGCCAGGATGCTGGATGAGAAATGCCAAACATTTTGGAGAAGGGAACAAAGCTAAAATCATGCTATGTGTTTAGAAGTGAAAAAGAGACTTGTCAAAGCCTTACCATCCCTCTTTTTTTTTACAGTTCCTCTTTATGTCCTCACCCCTGCCATGGCATTTGTGTCTGCTTTTTATTTAGTCAGCCATGCTTTCTCATTTCCCTATAAGACTCATGGGAGGTGAGAAGGGTGGAAGAGAATGTGTGAGAAAGGCTGGGGAAGGGCAAAGGCTACCTCCTTTGTGGTCCAAAATCAATTTGGAAAACATATGTATTTATTGTACTTGGGAAGAAAAGAAAGGAAGTTTCTATGGATACTGTTAACAATTGTCAAATTGTGGCCAGTTGGCTTTATTAACAATTAGACTATTGTTTGTCATCGGGAATCTGTTGAAGTATTCTGCACCTACCTATGTTAATCGATGTCATTACTTCCACTTAACCATTTTTAAAGGAAGTACTGCATTGTGGTCATGATGCTTGAGGATTAAGATGATACTTTTAGTACTTTATTTGATAGATAATCTTTGCATCAAAAAATAAAATAAAATGTTGAGTCAGTTTTGAAGGTGGAAAACAGATAACCCTATATAAATATTTAATCTGAGCTAGAATTTCTAGTATCTTAATCACTAGAAACTCACTATGTTTAAAACTGAACTCATTCTTTCCCAGACCTATTCCCTATAAGCTCCCTCTCTCAGTGAATGATACAACATTCATCTGCTGAGTCTCACCCTAGAACCTGAGAGTCAGTCTGGCCTCCTCCCGTCTCTTTGATGACCTGAATATTAAGTTTGTCTTTAACCTGAGCAGCTGTGCAATGGTTTCATAGAAAAACAAATGAACAAACAAAACAGACTCATAGATACAGAAAACAAACTGATAGTGGTCAGGGGATTGCTCAGTGCGGGATGGACAAAAAAGTGAAGGGGATTAAGAGGTACAAACTTATAGTTGTAACATAAATAAGTCACGAAGATGGAATGTACAGCATAAGGCATACAGTCACTATTGCAATAACTTTGTATGGTGATGGATGGTTACTAGACTTCTCATGGTAATCACTTCGTAAAGTATATAAATGTCAAATCACTATGTTGTACACCTGAAGTATAACATTGTGTGTCAACTATACTTTATTAAAAAGAGCTTTATATTCCGCCCCCGCCCCACCCCCACCCCCCCAAAAAAAGAAAAGAATAAGTGGTTGCCAAGGTCAAATACTTTCAGATGTTCATGTGATGTTGGGATTCAAGGATTTCATTAGCGACTCAGCCAGAGCAGCGCTGGAAGCATGGTGAGGATAGATGCCAGCCTGCCCTAAGTGATGAAAATGAGGAAGGGAAGTAGAGGAGGCCTGGGACTGTGCCAGTCATTGTCACAGCTCTGCCACCAGCACCTAGCATAATCCCTAGTACAGTGTGCTCTATAACATTTGTAATAATTTCATGAAGGGAGTGAGAGATTCCAGCAGTAGCCAGATCTGCTCACACGACCCAGAAAGAGAGCTTCTGTAGTTGTCTTGCTTTTAGCTGTGAAACAATGGAACATGTGAATTTGAATTTACTAAAGGGGAAGGAACCAGTGCAGAGAGAGAGGGTACAGGAGCAAGAAGATATAGGATGGAAGAAAATTCCTAAAGAAAGTGAGAGGGGTGGGATCCAGAGAACAGGTAGAGGGATTGAGGTGAACAAGAAGGGAGACCTGGGTACAAGATTTGTGAGGATGAATTCACAAAGTTATCAAGAGCTTGAGGGCATCACAGTTGACAGTTTCTATTTTGTCGGCAAAATAGGACTCTAATGTCACGTGTGAAGAATTAAGCAGGAAAGCTAGGATAAGGAGCCAGAGAATATGGCCCAACCGCTGAAGGAAATGGAAGGCATTGCTGACCAGGGATGTGAACCCTACCTTTGGTTGAATGAAGAAGTGGGCAAGGGCTCCAGCTCGTGCCTTGCCCAGAATCCCATCTCTAAGGATGGAGCTCTTAGACCCACATCTATGATGCTCTAATTGTGCCCCTACCTTTAACTTGTTTTTTTTTTCTATGGGCTCTTCCCCTTTGATCGAGGCTCTGGTTTTCCCCACTTGCAACAAAGAGAAATGATAGTGGCGGATTCCCCGATTCAAATAGAATGGAGCTCTTTAAAAGCAAATGTTCTAGAATTGTTGGTTACACAGAAAGCAGTTCAATGGCATCCTATCATTATTTCTTTTCCTTCCAGGAGTCGTCTATGCAACTGCGTACTGGATGCCCACTGAAAAGACAGTACAGGTCAAAAACGTACTGGACAAGAATGGGGATGCCTATGGCTTTTACAATAACTCTGTGAACACCACAGGCTGGGGCATCCTGGAGATCAAGGCGGGGTACGGGTCTCAGGCCCTGAGCAATGAGGTCATCATGTTTGTGGCCGGCTTTCTGGAGGGTTACCTCACTGCTCCGTAAGTATCCCAGTCATGGTGGAGAACTATGTCAATGTCTATCTCTTTCTTTGTCCAACAGTGGCCCTGGTCTTCCTGGCATTGTACATTCGTAGCTGAGGTTCTTCTAATAGGAGAGAAGCATTATCAAGAGTTACATTTGTACCTATAACAATACCTGCCTAGAAGGAACAAAACCCCCAATGGTGGCACTATCTAATTCTCACGGTTTTTACCTTTTAAAATTGTACCTTCTCCTGAAACTATTTTAAGAATCAGCTAAGCTGTCTCCTTCTACTAGTCATTTATTGTCTGGTAGAAAGCAAATGAGAAGTGGAGTGTCAAAGATTAATTAAAAATAAAATGTCAGAGCATTTATTTACAGTAATCTTAAAACAATACTTTCAAGTAGGTAAAGAGGTTTTAAATTGAAATTTTAATGTCTAATATAAATGTTCCTTCCAGCTCTGTTGTTGCTTGATTCGTGTGTCCTTCCCTTGTCTTATAAAAACAACAAAAATGTAGTTAATGATAATGCAATCAGGTCCCATTCTTTTTAGAGAAAAGCTCTTTAAGGTAAAGAAAGTTGCAACCCATTTAATCAAGCCTCATCCTTCCTTTGACATAAAGTGTCATGATGAGTTGGCTTTCTTTCTTTCTTTGTGACCTAGATTGTTGAGTGCAGTTTAACCAAACTGCATTTTGCGCTGTTATCACCTTAGTCATAGTGAGCACAGTGCAGATCTTAATCTGTTTCTGCATTCTGAAGATTCTATCAGTTGTTGAATGACTAGTTATTGGGTTCTGGCTGGTTTTTCTAAATTTACTAGAAATTCCTGTTTTTATTTTTATACCAAATTTTGGTTATTCTATCATACAAGTCTCCTTCATATAGTACACTACTCAGAGATGTCTAAAACTCTATAAATGGAATAAGGTCTTAAAAACATGCCTACAACTGTATTTTACATGTAAACATCTGAACTTTTCATCTTGCGCTCAAAATCTTTATCCACTTTTGTATCTACTCATTTGATTGCATTATTTAAATTGAGTTGCAAATTTGGAGAAATAATTTGGACTGAAGCTGTGTGATTGTAAATAAATATATTAGATGAAATATTGGTCAAACTCCTAGACCCAATCTCTGATGCTATCTTCTTGATGAAGCTTTTTCTGATTCCATTCCCACTGAATTGGAACTCCATTTCTCCCTTGCACCATCTGTTAGTACCTTGAGGGCAGAGTCTTTTATCTTATTCATCTTTGTATACCCCAGACACCTGGCACAGTGCTTCTGTCCCCAGCAGTTACTTGATTACACGCTTATTAGGTTTAATCTTGCTGTTGTTCCTGTTCTATCAGAGATTAATGACAATGTGAGGTACATATTTCTGTGCAATGCACTGTCTGGCAACGGTGGCCCAATGGAGCGTCTTCCTTTGTTTTTAACTCTATGGGGTGGTTCCCTAAGAGCTGCAGATTCAGAGTCCCTGATGTTCCACTAATAACGTTAAAGCTTCTAAATAGTCATAGGTTGATTTTTTTTTTTTAAGATTTTATTGGGGAATTGGGGGAGGAGAACAGCATTGGAGAATCGGGGAAGGGGAACAGACAAGTTGCTGTCCTTTTGTTCTTAGTCTAGTTGAGGAGGACTTTGCTTCACTGGCCCAAGTTGGTATTGTGATCATTGCGCTCTTCCCAACTGAGGCGGATCGGTCGCTGGCCACAAGACGGCTGCTCACGGAGGCTCTTGGCAGCTCACACCAGCTGCCAGCTACTCACGCTGGCTGCCAGCCTCTCATGGTAGCTTATGGCAGCCCACTGCAGCCTCACTGTAGCCTATGCCATCGCCAGCAACTCTCGGCAGCCCAGCTCCAGGTTGAGCTGTTGTTCACCATCTTAGCTGTAGAGGGCGCAGCATCACTGGTCCTCATGTGGGATCCAAACCGGGGCCCTGCTGCTCAGAGCTGGCATCCCAAGCCAGCTCTTAACCAACATGCCACTCAGCCAGCCCCATGGGTTGATTTTTAATATATTGAGTCATGAATCCTTTCTGGAAAGAATGGTGATGAGGGTGCGAAGACCTGGTCTGCTCTAGCTTTTAATCAAGTGGCTGACAATTGTGTTGCTGAAGAAGTTGCTGAAATACGACCTCCTCCGGAATTACCCAGGTAGAGTGAGCCAATTCAGTGCAAGAAGCACTTACTGCATTACATGTGCCAGGCTCTGGTGACAGGGAGAAAGGTAGGGGGAGTGTTAGTTCCTGAGTACATTCTTCAAAGGGAACTCATTTTAAATTAATATGTTGACACAATGGTTGTTAAAATTATGATGACAAAAGGTTGTGGCAAGATTATGGCACAAGTAGAGAAAGTAGTCAAAGGTGGTACCTTTTTTGTCTTAGGCCTACCGCCAAGAAATATCTCAAGAATCTCCTCCACACCCCCAATGCGCCCCCCCCCTTTTTTTTTTAAGCTGAGCCATCCTGCCACCTGTTGGCAGTTCCGCGGCAGCTCAACTCAGGCATCAAACCAGTGACCCTGTTGCTCAGAGTTCTCACTCTTGAGCTAGTTCTTAACCAACTGAGCCACTCAGCCGGCCCCCACGCCCCATTTGATGTTAGAACCTGAATATGCTTCCAGGTCAAGGATGTGGGCAAAGCAAAGATAAGGAAGACACAAGATCACCCTCAAGAATATCAAATGACCCATCAACTAGTCATTATCTGGAACTTAACATGAACCACAAAATGATGATGATGATGATGATGATGATGATGATGATGATGATGATGGTGATGATACTTATATAGCACTTGTTTAGCATTTAAAATGTACCAGACACTGTTCAAAGCAGGTTACATATGTTAAATTATTTAACCCACAACAATACTATGAGGTATGTATCACTATTATCCCCATATGACTGATGTGAAAATGGGCACAGAGACGTTAAGTAACTAGCTGAAAGTCACAAAACTAGTCAGCAGGAGCCAGGATTGGAAACCACGCTTCCGAGTTTGCTCACACGCTAGCACACACGCAAATGGATTAATCACTGTAGGAAATACTAAAGGAGCCCAACATAGCATCTGACCTCAAAAGTCAAAATAATTGAGGTCTGAAGTCAAAACAATTAGAAAACAGTAGGAGACAGCAGATGACAGTGCTAAGTGATGTGGTATTGACATAATGCAAAGAGATTCAGAAAAAGATATGTGCCTTCGTGATTCTCCCATGAATGAATGTATGTGAGATGCAAAGGTGAGCAAAGCTTTGGCCTACTTAGGAGGACATTTACCGATTTCACGCACCACAGGAGCTGAAACTAAATCTATCACATCCATGACATGGACACTAGTGTTAGCTCTGTTTGATAAGAATTCGGAAATGTGGAGAAATTAGCAACCTTGTTTGTGGTCATACAGCCTAGAAGTAGCAGAGTCAAGCTTTACTCGGTATTCAAAGCCTGAACTTTTAGCTGTTATACTTTATTACCACACAAAAATGTGGGCTCCCAGGCCCAGGGATCAGAGAAGGGCCTCAACCTGAGGAGCCTTCAAGTGACTGTATCCCTCAGGGCCCCTGAATGGAGCAGAATCATTTGAGACCTCCACTTCTGATCTCAAGGTAGAAGTTTCTCTTCCCCTGCTCTGAATTTCAGAATTGAAAAATCTAGTCTCCACCAAAGAAAGAAAAGAAAAATTTTCAATACTTCTAGCCCAGACACCCTCCCATGCCTCCATCTATCTGTCTTGTCTCTTGTTATGAGGACATCCTCAGGGAACCACTCACAAGTCAAGATTAATTTTTCCCTGTTTCAGGATTTCTCAACCTTTGCACTATTGACATTTTGGGTTGAATTCTTTGTTGTGGAGGCTGTCCTGTGTATTATAAGATGTTTAGCAGCATCCCTGGCCTCTACCCACTAGATGCCAGGTGTACCTTACCCCTTAGTGTGACAACCAAAGATGTCTCCAGACATTGCCAAATGCCCCTGGAGGAAAAAAAAAATCACTCCAGTTGAGAAACGCTGCCCTATTTTAAAATAGACTGAAAATTTGAGGGGATCTGGAATTCTGGATGGGTCTAGGCAGGGTGCAGTGAGGGAGACTTTGGGTGAAAAGTATGAATTTATTGTTTCCTTACCTGAGTGAGCACTGTAAGTCAATAGCCCACATATTGTTTTTTTCCAAGAAATAGAAATTTATTTTCATATGAATCATTTTAACTTTAAGAGCCCATTCAATCTGATGGCTAGAAAATATTACCATAGTCATTCCTATGTGAACAAAATGTCATTTCAGCTGAGTCAATTCAGAATGTTCCACTTTTCCCCAGAATAGATTGGTGTTACTACGGCTGCGTGGAGGGAGGGGAGATGTTTAATCGGTGGTTGTCCTGTGTCTTCCTCTAACATTCACCAAAGGGAAAGAATCTCTTTTCGCCTTTGGCTTGGGCATAGCCCCATCTGACATCTGATGAGCCGTCCATGGTCTCCAGCTGCATAATCAGTGCCATCTGAGGTTGCAATATTCATGGCAAATATAAGTCCTCTGCCCCCATGCTCTTCTAGTGCCCACTTATTTTACCCCAGGCCACACAAGAAAACATTTGGCTCATGAGCCCACAGTCCACACAGCCATCTCTACTTCCCTACACAATCTTAGAGTGGGAAACTTGTCTCCATGAGCAACTAAAGCAGGTCATGAAACTACACCTTAATTTCTGCATTTCATTCATGTGAAGTGTGAGACCAGGGCAGAGCGTCCTGTCCTTATCACCCACATACCTGTCTAGCTTTGTTGCTATTAGATTCCTGTTTTAGAGATGGTGGAAAAAGGGGAAAGTGACCAACTTGATAGTAGAAGAGATGTGGCAGCATGAAAGATATGTAAACAAAAGTTAAATGTGACCATTCAATTTTTAGAAAATATTTGCAAATAATTTGAAGGAAAAGCTCTCATGAAGTGAAGTTTATTGAACTCAAGGACCATAAAATAAAAGAGTTCAAAGGATTTTCATGTTGTTCACCTAACTGGCAATAAAACTATTCTCATTTTATCAGTTTCCATTCTGGAAACTACATTAAGTTCTCACTTAACGTCATCAATGAAATGACTTATAAGGAAACCAGTTTTACCAAAGGCTAATTGATATAAACAAGAGTTAAGTTCCTACTGCATCTCATCAATGTTAAAACAAAAGGGCGTTAAAGGAAATGACTTCATTTGAGGACCTGCTGTACTAGATAGAGGATATCTAAATTCCATAGCACGGGAACCGAATTCCCAAATTTGGAATCTGAGTCACTTCCTGCTTTCAACGCTGACCTCCTTGTAATCATCAAATGAAAACCAGAACTAGGACTTTAGGTAAACTTTCAGCCCAGAGAGTGCAAGGGGGGTTCACAATTTGACTGATTTTGTTGCAAACTTACAGCAAATAATAGATAAAATATATAGAAAGAGAGCATCATAATAATATGGCGGGGCCCCCAAACAAGATTAAACATCTCTTGAAGAAGAAATGGAACAGAAAACAAAGTGATGAAGAATGGATATGCTGAGCCCTCGCCTGAAGCAAGTAGAGACAGACATGCCTGCTGATGGCTGAAGGCCTCAGTGTCCTGGGGGAGCTGAGTCAAGGCTGGGGAGCGGAAGTTACCTTGCTGCTTTTGACTGTAAACTAGGCAGCCACAGAATAACCTCTGTTGATGTGCATCCTAGCCTAGAGATTTATATGAAACAATGAGCTTGGGGAAAGGGGAGTGGAGGGAGCAATCAAGAATCAAATCATCCACGTGCTGCACGAGAGTAATAAATCACTGATTCAAGCTTGTAGTTGCCTCTAGGGAGATGGGATAATAATTAGTGTCTGGAAGGTGTACACAGGGGCTTGAAAAATATCTAATGTTTCTTTCTTTTTGAAAATACATGCAGCAAATATGGCAAAATAGAGTGATTTAATAAAGTTGCATAATGGATACTTGGGTGTTTGTTATAGTCTATGCTTTTCTATACCTTGGAACTTTTTTCCAATTTTAAATTGTGTGTTTGATTTATTAAAAAAAAAAGTAGTAGGGAAGGTTTGTGGTAGGGGACATCCTGGTTAGCCAGAAAATTGGGTAAATGACTGTGGGGAGAAATCCAAGGAGAAAAATAGAAATGTAACGCTTTTGATCTATCGTTTCAGACACATGTATGACCACTTCACAAACCTCTACCCACAGCTGATTAAGAAACCTTCCATCATGGATAAAGTACAGGAGTTTATAAAGTATGTATAATAGCTTTGGCCTTCTCACTGTTATTGAGGCTGCAAGGCCTGAATCTATCAATTCAAACAGTAATTTTTCCTTCTCTGCTTTCCTTTTCTGTCTCTCAGGGAGAATGCTGGAGTTGCTCTTGTAGTGAGAGGTGTAGCCTCTTTTGGTAATAGTAAGAAAACTGGGGGCAGACAACATGTCCTTGAGTTGGGGCTCTTTTGGAGGTCAGGTTGAATATCACATTATCAATTGCTGACACATTTGGGGGAAGACACCATCAGTGTAAGGCAGGCAAAATTAAGTCCCTGGATCGCTTCCACCCAAGGACCCCTCTCCTTCTTGCAGAGATCCCTCCTCCCCCTCTGTAAGGTGCTTCCTTTTCAAGGGTCTGGTGACTAATCCTAGCTGGGTGTTAGCTCGTATCTCAAGTCATAATTCTTAATATCCTCTGAGAATGTTTCCATTTTAATAAAGTTTTCTGAAGATTAATAATTCTCAATATTGAGAAAATGTGTAACATGTTTGCAGGACTATGAGATTAATTTGGGGATACAAGGATGCTTACTTTGGCTCTCCAAATTACTCATGAAACAACCTCTTCATCAAATGCTAAAGTTCTATAGAGGATCAGTTAAGAATGATTGAGCTAGATTCCATGAAGCAATGACATTGCTTCTAAAATTGATCTAGAGATAGCCTGAACAAATCAGAAATAGTTTTCAATATACAGTTATGTCAGGTAATCCCCGATGAAGTGCAGAGAACTAAAAGAGGAGAAACAGAATGAAAGAACTGTGACAAATAAGACTTTTTTTGCTAAGCATGCTGGGACAGAGGCATTGAGGCAATTATTAGCAACAACTGAAATAGAATGAGCCATAAACTATGAAAATGATCTGAAAGAAATATAAACATATACAAATCATCCCGTCCTTAGGATATTTTATTTTTTCCTGTTATTTAACTTTACCTCTTTTACATATAACAGTAAAGTTAATCAACACATCCTTACTGATTTAGTGAGACACTGTGATTTGATATGAAATGTATTTGGATGGTCTATCCTTGACTTTCTTAGGTCTCAGTATCACAGGCAGGTAAACATTACACCTGTGTTTTGGTTCCAGATAGAGCATGGAGAAAGCTATAAAGGAAGAGGCATAGTCCTGGGGAGAAATCAAAAATTATTTTGAATTTGCCCTGGTAGCCTTCCACAGTGATTAGAAGGTTACAAGTTCCAGAATTTAAATTATAATAGCATAATTGTCTGAATATATAGTCTCTAAATGCCTGGGTTTAATTTAGCTTTATATGAGCAACCTCTAGTACAAACTGAATTTCTCTTCCAGGAAGCAAGAAGAGTGGACACAGAATAACATAAAAAATTACAAAGATGATCCGTTTTGGAGACATACAGGCTATGTTATGGAACAAATGGATGGGCTGTATGTAGGAGCAATGAAGAGGGCACTATTAAGTGGAGTAAAGGTAGGATTTTTAAGAAGCTACTCAGGATGTATTGAAAATAATCTTTAAAATTTATACATTCCACTTTAGAAGCAGACGAAATTAGGACTACAATGAAAATTTCTTATTCCCAAGTGCTGTCTTATTTATCATACTGCTAGCACTTGACTCACTGACATGAAATTCAAGCTTGCTTGTTTCTGCATTTCTCAATCTTTTTCATTATACTGTGCTCTGGAGTAGGTTAAAGAGCCTGGTATGAATGTATTGGCTATCTAAATAACCTAATAAGTGTTTTAGATGATGTGGCCATTAAAGCAAAATATCTAAGTGTACATTAAAGTAAAATATCCCATCTTCCACAACATACCTACACACACACACACACACACACACACACAAACATACATCATACTTTTTTTAAAACTTTACTGAATCGTTCAGGATTCAAAGGTACCATTTAATATACTTCCAAAAATTATGAAGACCCTGTCCCCTGGAAGACATTATATATATATATATATATATATATATATATATATATATATATATATATATATTCACACACATATACTGGACAAAATATACAAAAAGACAGTTCATAGAAAAGTGAAGCAAAACATTCTTAATCATATGAGCTCAGCCCTGCTCATAGGTTTGAGATACAAATTAAAACCATACTGAGAAATACGTTGTCACTTATCAATTTGACAAAAATTCCAAAGTGTAAAAGCATAATCTGTTGGTAAAGCTATGGGGAAAAAGACACTTTCCTAAAATACTGGTAAGAATGCAAAATGGTATATCCACAATAGACAGGGATTTGGGCACGCAGTACCAAAATCACATACTCAATTTATCCTTTGACCCAGCAATCCTACTTTTAGGATTATCACAAAGGTTCACTGGCAAAAATACAAGCTTATTTGTGGCAGTTAATTTGTAATAGCAAAAGACTGAAACTAGCCAAATATGTAGAAGACTGGCTGCATAAATGACGTAGCCGCAGACAGGGAAGAGGCAGATCCCTATATACTGTTATGGAATGACCTTCAGGATCTGTTATCAAGTGTAAAAAATAAAGATGCATTGTGTGCTACCTTATACATAATAAATGGAGATAGAAGATAGATAGATAGATAGATAAATGATAGATACATTTGCTTATCTTTTCAAGTAAAAACAACAATGAAAGAATAAAGAAAAAACTAAAAATAAATGATTACTTACAAAAGAAGGGAGAAAAGAGAGTGTAGGGGATAGAGATGAAAGCTACATTTCTCTGACTATAACTTGCTTTATATATTTGACTTTGGAACCAAGTAAATGCTATTCATAACTATAAAACAAAATTTAATCACAATGAAAAAACACAATCCCTGAAATCTGAAAACAAAATAACACATATATATCTAACTGTATATCAAGTTCATGGCATAACCAAAAGGATAGCAGTTATTACAAACCTTAAAATACAGGGATTGCTGTACATCCTTAGTGGGACAGATCCTAAAGACAAGAAAAATCACCAAAAAACAAAAACAAAACAACCTTAAACTGCATTCAGTAATTTGACTTAGTAATATTGGTATTGTTATTTTGAAATTTGATAGAGTTTGAAGGATACAGTAAGATAAAGGAAATGAATAAATATGTTGGATATCAAGATTTTCAGCATTAAAAATCAATAAAGACCCTGTTTTCAAAGTTAAATAATTAAGTTGTGTTTTTTGTTTTTGTTTTTTGGTTAAGATGTCTTTTGTGTTTGTCCTCCCACTACCACTGCCTGAAAACCAGTTTGTGTGTAGACACCCAGCCTGGGGCTTCTCTGATGGACTGAATCTTGCTGTGTAGCACTGCTCTCTAGTTAGCACAAAGTTCATGTTCAAGTCTGATAGTTGTTCCAGGGCTAAATGCTGTCAACTCAGTTTGTCCTCTATGTTAAACACACAATCAAAATAAAAAACATTTTAGTTGAATGTTTTTGCTGTAAAGCAGTAATTCTCAACTAGGGGTGACTTCCCTCCAGAGGATATTTGGCAATGCCTGGAGACATTTTTGGTTGTCGAAACAGGGAGGCACTTCTGATATCTACTGGGTAGAGGCTAAAGATGCTGCTAAACATCCTACAGTGCAGCCCCCCACAAGAAAGAATTATTTGGCTGAAAATATCACTAGTGCTGAGATTGAGAAAACCTGCTGTAGAGGAATGAAAACAGAAACTCTGTTTTACTCTTAGGAGGCTCTCCCCAAATCTGAATATCAAAACATGCTAAAATAGCTCATAATCTATAATGTAACAAAAATTATTTTATAAGTTACAATAAAATCTAGTGCATCTGTTACATTAGGGACCTTTCACAAAAGAATAACTTATGAATCCCTAACAAGAGGAACAATAGAAAATGACATGACTGTCATAAATCAGTAATAAGTGCTCTCTCTGTCCTTCTCTAGCCCATGACCCTGTTCCAGATTCAGTTCCTGAACGCTGTTGGAGACCTGTTGGATCTGATTCCCTCAATTTCTCCCAGAAAAAATTCCAGCCTGCAGGTTTTTAAGAGATGGGACATGGGACATTGTTCTGCTCTTATTAAGGTGAGACACACAACAGCATTTCACCTTTTCCTTGTTCTGGTCCACACAGAACTTTTCTATACCTCACCCACGTACTGCAACCTCCAATCACCCCTGCCTACAGCTATAGATCAGCTGATGGGTCCCTCTATTGTAGACGTTAAGAACTGGGAGGAACTGATGAAGAGAACTGGATGTACATGATGTTACATCTGTTTTTTCCACCATTCTTCACATGCTTTATGTACCTGCCACTCCCAATTTCCAGAATCTTCCATTTTGGATGCTAGGAGAGAATCTATCTGTTCTGTGCACATTAAAGGTTAATTTTCTGGTAATAAACCTAGCAATAGACACCTAAATTGACATAATCCCTGCACACTTGCTTCACTTGTAGTCAGTTATCTCTATACCTCTGCGTCATTCACTGTGATTCTGGCTATAGGTTCTTCCTGGATTTGAGAACATCTATTTTGCTCACTCAAGCTGGTACACGTACGCAGCCATGCTCAGGATATATAAACACTGGGACTTCAACATCAAAGATAAAGACACCAGCTGTAGTCGCCTCTCTTTCAGCAGCTACCCAGGTAAATAAATTTAGAGGGACATCTGAGAACTCTTGAGAACGATTTCAGGATAAATGGGAGTAACAGGAATGGAAAAGTGGATAAGTGGTTATTACATATTAGTGAAATTTGATTTTCAGAATGCTTTTTTGAAGAAATATAGCTCTAATGCTTTTTTAATAGAATGACATAAACTAAGTTAACAGAGCTGAAAAAATTCACTTCAACAAATGCCACTGAGTATTAAGTACGAGGCACTTCCCTATGCTCTGCTGTGGAAGCAAACATGCTTTCTTTGAGGGCCTGTCTCTGTTTCTCTTATTCACTGCAATGTCCACAGCACTTAACCTAGTGTGCGGTACCTAGTACTTAATAAGTTTTTGCTGAATGAATGGATGAATGAATGTGTAAGCTTATAAATGTTACACTAATAAGGTAGAGATCCAAGATGGTGGAGTAAACACCATGCCTGCTTCCTTCCATGAACACATTAAAATTACAACTAAATTATAGAACAGTCAACCTGGATATAAAGAAGCCACGTGGAGACTGGTAGGAGCGGTAGAGACGGCGAAACGAACTGGTTCCACACCTGTGTGTGGCAGTTGAGAACCGGGAGGCATATCTCAGCTGTGGAGGTTCCCCCTTGAGGAGCAAGAGACCACAGCCCCACACCAGCCTCCCCAGCCGAGTGCTGGTGTTGGGAAGAGGAGCCCCCACAATATTTGACTGTGAAAAACAGTGAGGAATTCTAACCATCCAGTGCGGAAGGCTGTGGGAAACCCAGATATCCTCTTAAATGGCCCGCACATGCACTCACTCGCAGGCACTCACCTTGGGCTCCAGCGGAGAGACAGTACCTTGGGGAGCGTTGGAAGCATACAGTAGACTTAGGTGTGTGGCTTTGAAACAAGGGCTGGAGCACAGTCACCATTTTCCCTGTGTGGAGCCTTCCTCTTGTGCAGCCCCCAGGTGGGAGCCATCTTTCCTGTGTTGATCCCGCCCCCACACAGCCAAATCTGAATCTAATTGACCTGGTGAGCTCCACTGATTCACTCTGCTGACTCACTGAGACCCTGCCCCAACCAACTTGCCTAATACCAGAGGCACTTTCTCCGAGAGCAGCCAGCCCTGCCCAGATTTTACTCTTTCTTGAAAAACTATCAGAGTCTGCAGGACCTAGGCAGGCAGCAGCTGGCCTCAGTGTGCCCTGAGACTTTTGCTGAGTAGCTCCCAAGTCTACATTAACCTGTTGACCCCAATTCTTCCCACTCTAGTGACTCCCTGAGACACTGCTTCACCCAACTTGTGTACTGCACGAGGCTTTATGAGGGGTTAAACCTTAAGGGAGACAATAGGTGGCAGCAGGCTTTGGGGTGTCCCGGCTTTTTGTGGAGTTATTCAGGCCTGGTACTGGTGGCAGCTGTCCTCAGTTCGCAGTGTGGCCTATCCCACACACCTTCAGGTACAGCATAGGGAGCAAACAACTGTGGATTGCTTTGTAGCTCCTATCAGGTAGTTCCTGCCTGGTCACTGGCAGTGGGTGACCTGGGCCTGTACCAGAGCCTTTCGAAGAGGACCCAGAACCAACATACTTGGAGGTTGGCTTCAGACCACAGCAGAGCACTACCCAATTAGCCCCACAAGAAGCACACACAAAGGGCAGTCTCAATAGGCACCAGAACCCTCTGGGGTGAATCCCACTCAGTGGGGTAAGCCCTCTGCAAAGCAGCATGTAAGCAGCTGTGGATGTGGCCAAACTGACAGCCAATCAGGCTGAGGGTCAATGCCTCCCACTGACATGCCAGCAGCAATAAAGGCTCAACTATAATAGAAGGGTACACACAACCCACACAAGGGACACTTCTGGAGCACCTGGATCAGGTGACTAGGGAAACTGTGCCAGTGCCCTACAAGGCACCTGCTACATAAGGCCATGCAGCCAAGCCTGGGAGACATAGCAGTCTACTGAATACATGGAAACAAACACAGAGAGACAGCCAAAATGAGGATACAAAGAAATACATCCCAAATGAAAGAACAGAAGAAAACTACAGAAAAATAACTAAACGAAATGGAGGCAAGCCACTTACCAGATGCAGAATTCAAAATAATAGTTATAACTTAGTGAGAACTTCCACAAAAAGATAGCAAGCATTAAAAAAGGACATAAAAACCATAAAAAAGATCCAGTCAGAAGTGAATAATACAATGACTGCAATGAAGACTGCACTAGAAGGAATCATCAGCAGACTAGATAAAGAGGAGGATCGAATCAGCAATTTGGAAGACAAGGTAGCAGAAAACACCCAATCAGAACAGCAAAGAGAAAAAAAAAGGTCCAAAAAAAATGAGGACAGTTTAAGAGACCTCTGGGACAACATCAAGTGTAACAACATTCACATCATAGCATTACCAGAAGGAGTAGAGAGAAAGCAAGGGACTGAGAACCTATTTGAAGAAATAATCAGTGAAAACTTTACTAACATGGCAAAGGAAGTAGACATACAAGTCCAGGAAGCACAGAGAGCCCCAAACAAGATGAACCCAAACAGGCCCACACCAAGACACATTATAATTAGAATGGCAAATGTTAAAGACAAACAGAAAATCCTAAAAGCATCAAGAGAAAAGCAACTAGTAATTAATAAGGGAGCTCCCATAAGATGGTCAATTGATTTCTCAACAGAAATTTTGCAGGCCAGAAGTGATTGGCACAAAATATTCAATGTGATGAAAGCAAGGATCTATAACTAAGATTACTCTACCCAGTAAAGCTAAAACTATCACTTAGAATTGAAGGACAGATAAAGAGCTTCCCAGACAAGAAAAAGCTAAAGGAGTTCATCACCACCAAACCAGTATTACAAGGAATGTTAGAGGGATTTCTTTAAGAGGGGGAGAAAAAAGATCAAAATTATGAATAATAAAGTGACAATAGCTACATATCTATCAACAATTACTTTCAATGTAATTGGATTAAATGCTCCACTCAAAAGACATAGGAGGGCTGAATGGATAAGAAAACAAAACCTTTACATATGCTGCCTTCAAGAGAATCATTTCAGATTGAAAGACACAGACAGAAAGTAAAGGGATGGAAAAAGATATTTAATGAAAGTGGAAATGAAAAAAAAAAAAAGCTGGTGTAGCAATACTTACACCAGACAAAATAGACTATAAAACAAAGCCTGTAAGAAGAGACAAAGAAGGACCCAGTAATCCCATTTATCTGAAAAACCCCAAGCTCTACTTCGAGGGGACGTGTGCATCCATATGTTCATTGCAGCATTGTTTACAATGGCCAAGATGTGGAGGTAGCCAGGGGGTCTGCTGATGGAAGAATGGATAAAGAGGAGATAGTACATATATACAATGGAATATTGCTCAACCGTGGAAGGGAATGGGTTCTTGCCATCTGCAGTGGCATGGATGGACCTGAAGGGTACTGTGCTGAGTGGAGTATGTCAGACAAAGACAGATGCAATGTGATTCCGCTTGTATATGGCATCTAAAGAAAAAAAATAAACAAAACATTAACAAACTAGTAGATATAGAGAACATGTTGATGGTTGCCAGATGGGGGGGTGTTGGGGGTGAGTGAAAAAGGGGAAGGGATTAAGAAGTACAAATTGGTTGTTACACAGTAGTCATGGGGATGTAAGATATAGCATAAGGAATATAGACAATAATATTGTAATAACTATGTGTGGTGTCAGATGGGTGCTAGATTTGTTGGGGGGATAGATGGGAGGGGTTTGGGGAGCAGGGTGAAAAGAGTGAAGGGATTAAGAAGTACAAACTGGTAGTTACAAAATAGTCATGGGGATGTAAAGTAAAGCATAGTGAATATAGTCAATAATATGGTAAATATATATAGTGCCAGGAGAGTGCTAGTTTAGTCAGGGGTATCATTTCTTAAATTATATAAATGTCTAACCACTATGTTGTACACTTGAAATTAATATAAAATAATACTGAATGTCAACTAATTGAAAATATTAAAAAGGGGGGGAAAGGTGAAGGGGAATAAGAGGTCCAAATTTCCAGGTATAAAGCTAATGTCATGGGGATGTAATACACAGCATAGAGAATATAGTCAATAATATTGTGATAGCATAGTATGGTGTCAGATGGTTGCTGGACTTACCGTATTTGCCGGCGTATAAGACGATTTTTTGGCCCTGAAAAATATGCCTCCAAGTGGGGGGTCATCTTATACGCCAGGTACACTTCAGATGGACTGCCCATAGTGCTTGCCCCGTGCCATAGTGGCCTCCCAATGCCCGCCCACTTCATTCCACATACCGTTCAGGCATCAGCAGCGCTGCTGGGTGTATGCTCGGCTGTTATGCGATTTTGCTGTTATGCGATTTTACCACACTCGCAAAATCGCACACAGCCGACCATATAACAAACTCTGTATTTTGAGTGGAAATGTTAGGGGGTCGTCTTATACGCCGAGTCGTCTTATACGCCGGCAAATACGGTACCACGATGATCACTTCTTTAGGTATATAAGTGTTGAATAACTATGGTGTACACCTGAAACTAATATAATATTGTATGTTAGGTATATTTTAATTAAAATGTTAAAATAAAAAAAGTCACACTAACAAGGTAAGTACAATACAGATAAGAATAATATTATTACTGGATACTGTGTATGCTACAAAAGAAGTGTAAGAAATTTTGTGTGTATTCAAAAGAGGAAGAATTCACAGATGATTCTTGGGGAAAAGAGAGGTTGACATTTGAGATGAACCATGAATGACAACTAGAATTTGAACAGGTAGAGATGGATGGAAAGGACAGTCTCTGCAGAGTAGGGGATTGCAAAGTCCTATGCCTAAAGGAGACAGGCAGGTGATATAAATGAATAAAGGGGGCTGGTAGAAGAAAATACAAGTGGAAACAACTGTAGCAAACACATGCCCCATTGAAAGGTGGCCAGCTGCTCAGCTCCCACTGTCTGTTGTCACCCTGCAGTTTGGAGATCAATGTTTCCAGATCCTCCAAAT